AGAAATTAATAAACAAATATTTATTAGTTTAATAAAATTTAAAATGATCTAATATGAAAATAACCAGATACACCATACCTAAATGGGATTGAAGATGGTTTAGGTTTACTTTGACTTAACATCCAGTTTCTCGAATAAAATAGATGTCTACATCATGAATCTTTAATTGTGGTAAAATGCTCCTCAAGCCTTTTTTTTTTCATTTTTTGTTACAGACCTTTAGAATTCGCTAACAAGTTCTATCAACTAGTTTGAACTACAACAATCTTTCACCTCTCTCTTTTGACTTGAAGCATTCCATTTTTCAAAACCATTCCTCTTATCCATGGATTTTCTTCAAACCTTTACCTTAGTCATTCTTCTTATCTCAAAAGTCACTCTTATCTTAATGATCTGAAAATCACCAATTTATATCAATTCAAATATAAATGTCTTCAAAATAAACACCTTAATATGTTCATTTTATTATCACAAACAAAAAGTAATTGCCTTAGATAACTATTCTAAAAAAATTCAAATTCTTTTGAAAATATGTGATTGAATCTCTTGAAAAGTGATTACTACATAGAATGATAGATATAAATCACAACTTGGTCTTTCCAAATGGATGAAATGGTTTGACACCTTAAGATCTTAATTATCAAAGTAGAATTTGCCACTAGTTAGGAAAAAGTAAATCAGTATTTCTTCAGATAGGCTCACAAATGAAAAGTTATCTTTTAAAGAACCACCCATTTTTGTACTCTTTTAATTTCTTGATATGGCATTTTGATAAATGTCTAGTCTGACTTTGATAAAATTAAAATTTTTGAGAAAGAAAGAAAGGCTTAAATTTTTGAACAAATCTTTAGATTAGGATTCATCTTCTTAGATTTCTCAAATATCTTCAACAATCATTGGTTTATTCAAAATCCTTTTATGAGATTGCATGAGTTGCTTTCAAATTTTCATTTTCACTCTAAACTATGTTTTAGGTTTTCACCCTAGAGCTTCAATCTTTTCATTTTTTTTCCTATTCCATTATGCTTTTGAAAACTTAAAGTTCATCTAAAATAAAAAAGTGATGGTGATTTTTCAAAGAAAAGTTCTTTAGTTTAGATATCCTTACTTAATCAAAATGGGCATTTCAAAGGACATAATGTAGGCAAGGTTATGGGTTTTGAAAGAAAGGATAAATAGGCCTAAAAATATGTGTTTAAAGGTAATCAAACCAAGTATCATTTCTTTTCCCAAGGACATTTATCTTTTTCACTTCCCAAAACATGCATTTTCATTTTTTTTCATTTTCATTTTCATTTTTGTTTTCCTTACAGGCTTTCACTTTTGACAAATTAAGTTCAAAATTTTAGAACTCCATTTACTATAAGATTGCCTTTGGATTGTAAGCATTACCTCCTTATCTTTAACTCTGAATCTATTGTTTACTCAAACAAATCCTTTTTCATACTTACTTCCTAGTGTGGAGGGTGATTTTTTGTTAGGCTTCATTAAAAAAAGAATTCAATAGGTTCAAAAGAGGTAGCAAATGGATATTTTCTTTTTGCAAATATGGTCATTTCTCATATCAAATATGGATACTTCCATTGAGAATCAATTTTCAAGAAAAAAATTTGTTTTCATTGTTTGTGGAATCATTTGAATGTCTTATATGTATGATGTTACAATAATTTTTTTCTCCTTTTTGCTTTTAGTTTTTTTTTTTTTTTTTGCAACTCATGTATCATCTCAATTTATTATGCCACATGAAGGCCCAATCATTGTCGCCTAAATCAAATAGATACTGGTGGCATTAGATAATTTGGCATTTTGGTGAATATGCCTCAAGATATGAGTAGCAAGTAATAGATTGAAAGTAAAGTCAAGATGTTGGATAAAAATATGGCTTTTTCAATATTTGGAAAGAAAACTTAAGTGGTGATGTGTTTGGAATAGCATTGTCATTCATCAAATTGCCGAAGTCCAGAATCCTTAAAAGAGTGCCTCATGTATTGGTTTACAAAGATTTTACAAATTTCATTGCTCATAACCTTAATGAAGATTGTTAACATTGAAATCGTTTTGGTTCAAGTGAAAATTAGGGTTGTGATACTTAGGAAATTAGCATTAGAGCAATATGATTCTCAACTGAATTAAAGTATGAACTAATAAGTGAAACAACTAGGCATGTTCATTTTTTACAGTAATGACTAATTTCCTCAAGACTATTTTTATAAGTAATATAAAATTTCATATGTAAACAAAATTGAAAGAAAAACTTATGCAAAAACTCAATAATCTTCCCACAAATAAATTGTTTGATACTTCACATCTAAAAGGAAAACTATTGTAGAGTAAATTTCTATTGCTCCTTAAGCTCTATAGTCAAAGTGCCGTTATTAATAAGATTTTTAATATTTTCTTTCAATTGCCTACATCTTTCAATTAAATGTCTAATTACCCTTATGTGATAATCATTTCTAACATTTAGATCATAACTCCTTATTAATGGATTTGGAGTTATTTTCAAAGGCACAGGGGTGAGGAGCTGGTGCTTTATTAGTAAAGGCAAAAGCTTAAGAATTAGGATTGGAAATTTCTTTTGATTATTCCTTGATCTTTTTTAGTTAGTCATTGGTTGAATGCTAAGGGCAAAGGTAGTTGTTTGGTTATAGGGATTTGCATGAAAGCCTAACTGATGGATTGGCTGACAAAGATAAGGATTTTAAAAGAGGTTGTTTGTAAAAGGGTAATAAGGTTGATACTTCATGTAGACATCACATTTTGATTAGGGTATAAGATGAATTTCTCAATTTTGAATTTCATTGGATTGTTGGGCCTTGGGTGAACTTATTTCAATTCATAGTTTTTTTGCCCCATTTGTTATTTCTTTTCAGCTATCAATTCACCTATATTTTTTAGCTATTTTTGTGACAGTATGAAACATCTAATCACATAATTACATTGTTTCATTAACTAAGTGGTGAGCTATGTTTTTCAATTGAATGCTTGACAAAATCATATTTGAAGTGGAATATTAAAGGTTGGGCCATTTTAGACAAAATTGGAAGCTTTGATTCCTTTATATACCTATGTATCCAAACTTTCAAATCAAGTTTTTTGATACAAATGAGACTTGTAACCTTAGTGCCTATAACCAATGCTTGGTTTTTTACTTATAATTGGGTGGTGACTCCCATATTACCTTAATTGGCATACTTTGTGTTCAATAAAAGTATGATAAAGCCTAATGATGTGATTCTTGTGCCATTTAAAGCATTTGAATATGTGTATCATGTATTTAGAGAAAAGCTACCTAATACCTATTTTTATATAAGTGAATTTGGACTAACCTTAGTTAGTGATGGCAAAGGGTCGGGTAAGGGCAAGTTCGTTCTGACTTCGACCCAGCCCTTTAATATTTACATCCGACTCTAATCTAATCCCAACATCAAAATAATATTTTTTTATATTAATCAACATATTATAAATCATAATTGATCTTACTCACATGAAATCAATTTAATAGTTTTATTTTAGTATAATATTCATAAAATATTATTTTTTAATATAAATTACAATTTTATTATACATAAATATAGTCTTTTATTTAAGTTAATATTTTAAATTAAAATATTAAATATTAATTTTATTAATATAATATATAAATATAAACTTAAATAAATAGTAAAAAATATTTATTTATACTTTGGTTGAAGTGGTGTACGCAAAATTGAATTTGACCTAGCCCAATTTTAAAAAAGAAAAACCCAACTAGCCTCCAACTCGAACTTTGATTTTCAACAATAATTTGATTTTATCGAATCAAAACTCGTTGAATATAAGTTATTTCACTTAATTATTCTTTATGTGTGGCCCATTAGATTCTTATTGTGTTTGTAGTAAATATGAATTTGTAATTTTTATTTAAATATGTTTTTATTAGATTTAGTTTTATTTTTTTTATTTAGATGTATTTTTTCATAATTTATAATATAAAAGTTAATTTACCTATCAATAAATATTTTATTAATTTAATTATTTAGTTATTTTTATTATAAAGTAAATAAAATATTAATAATTTACTAATTATTATTTTTAAATAATATTAAAATTATTAATTTATATAACTGTTAATGATTATTTTGATAGTTTCAAACATAATAATAATATTTAGTTTCCAATTATACCAAACAAGTGATATTTAATTTTTAATAATTATTGATTATTAATCAAATAATGCAATTTTAATCATTCACTATAATAATAAAATTATTTCACCAATTAAATTATTATAATAATTTTAAAAATAATATTCCTTCCTTCATTTAATTCAAAATTTTACTAAATTCCTTTATGCAAGTGTTGCTTAACGCACAACCTAAAAATCGAAAAGCATTGGAAAAGGAAGAGGAAATGTGGTGCTTAACCCAAACTACATTGTAAGGGCCTTCATGGCCCAAACCCAATAGAAAAGCTGGAATGATTTAATTGAGATTTGATTCTTAGCTTTTATAATAATTTAACTTAATTTCCTTTATCTCTCTCTGTCTCTCTCTTTATATATATATATATATATATATATATATGAACTCTTAAATAACATTCTATTAGGTATAGAAATAATTCCCTTTTAAAACTTTGTGGTATTCAAACATTTACAGATATATTAGAAGCGGAAAAAAACAAATTTAAGCTTTTAGCGACTCTACTTCTGACTTGGTTTTAATTTTTATTTATTAGTTAAAAATATTAATTGATGACAACAACAACCTTAACAATATTAATTGATTACAAATTATGCTTCCACCTGAAATGACTATACATGGATTTAGAAGAATCAACGCCTAAAAATATTTATTTTTTTTTATTAAAAAATTTTTAATTGTTTTTCCTTCTTTTATTTCTTTTTTCTCGCAAGCTTATTTTATTCGATAACAAATTTTAGAAGATTTGATAAATCAAAAGGTTTATTTTGACATACTCTACTCTAAGTCATGAACAAAATTTATTTTTTGCAAAAAAAAATCTATATATTATATTAAAAAAAGAAAGTGAGTAATATAAATAGGCCATGGCTTTCCTCAACTAACCCGGGCAGCTCCAATTTTTCTAGTATTTGTTTTGGTTTGAAAGGAGAACAGTAAGGATTCATAGTTTATTGATTTATCTAGTCTACTTCATATCTTAAATCCCTATCACATCTGCTTCCTCTTCTCCGTTTTGTTTTTATTTCCCGTTCGATTACATATGCATCTATTTTCATCAACCTCAACTCAACACTAGAAAGAGCTAGCGGCAGCGGCACGCATGAAAGGAAAGACAGTTGATCGTTGCGAGGCAGGGAAGAGAGAGGGCATGATCAAACACAGAAGGCGGAAACGCAGAGACTAGCAATCTTAGACAATCGCTGAATGAAAAATAATACGCCAAACGCCATTACCTGACTTCAGTTTTCTCTCTCTTTATGTTATTGTGTGAAGCCAAAAATAACGGCAGTACTGGCACACGCAGAAGTTGTTCATACATGTCCCTTCACAGCTCATTAAAACCCATAACACAGCCTGTCCTCTTCTTCCCCTTGAAACCCATTTTCTCTTCTTTTCACTCCCTCCATTCTCCACTCTTTCACCCTTCTCTTCCCCTCCACCGCCGTCCACGATGGCCTCGCATGGACTCTTCCACCTCCCACCACCACAGCAACCAAAGCAAGACAAAGCTCATCGTCATCATGGGCGCCACCGGCACCGGAAAGTCCCGCCTCTCCATCGACTTGTCCAGCCATTTCCCTCACTCTCAAATCATAAACTCAGATAAAATGCAACTTTACAAGGGCTTAGATATAACCACCAACAAGATCCCTCTCCACGAGAGGAAAGGGGTTCCACACTTTCTACTGGGCGACTTCGACTCAATCGACGCCGACGTGACCGCCTCGGAGTTCCGTTCTGCGGCGGGTTTAACCATCGCCAACATTGATTCGAGCGGGAACTTGCCAATTCTTGTTGGTGGCTCCAACTCTTTTATTCATGCTCTCCTTGTTGAAACCTTTAATCCTGAAGTGGACGTGTTTTCCGGGTCGGGCTCAGTGAGTCACGTGTTGAGGTATGACTGTTGCTTTCTTTGGGTTGACGTGGCGTGGTCGGTACTGTGTGACTATTTGTGCAAACGAGTCGATGAAATGCTTGACTCCGGGATGTTCGAAGAGTTGGCTCAGTTCTATAACCCGGCAAAAGAGGATGTCCTGATCGGGTTAAGAAAAGCAATCGGAGTGCCCGAATTCGATGGCTATTTTAGGAAATACTCTCCGCGGGAAAGCCAAGAAAACGGCGTGGTTCCCAAGGACGGGTGTGATCCGGCGCGGAGGGAGGCGTACGAAGAAGCCGTGAGAGAGATCAAAGATAACACGTGTCGATTAGCAAAGAGGCAGATAGGAAAGATCCTGCGGCTGAAAGGGGCTGGGTGGGACCTAAGGAGATTAGATGCAACGGCGACGTTTGCAGCGCTGATGAAGAAAAAGAAGTCATCGTCGGCGGATTTAGGATGGATGGATATTTGGGAAAGGGAAGTGATGGAACCAAGCGTGAAGATCGTGAAGCGATTTTTGGAGGAGTAGGTTTTCCAGCTAATTTATTCTTTGTTCGTTGACAAAACAGAACTCTCTCTCTCTCTCTCTCTCTCTCTCTCTGTGCACACATGAAAATGTTGAAATGGGATTAGCCAGAAGGGACGACCAATTTTGAACCAATTAGGTCGTACAAAGTGCCAGTGGTGGGCTTGGATTTGGACTTTGGCCGGGTGGCGTGGTGAAGAGGTATACAGAAAGAAAAATACCAAAACGAAAGAAATTTTGTACGTAAACAAAATTTTCTGAATTTTTCTTCTGTCTTTTTTCTTTCTTGTAATATTAAAATATTTTACTGCTTAAAATAGTGTAAATCGGAATGACATCGGCGCCTTGTGTCGTTGAGGAGAGTGTGGAATTGGAAGAGCACAAACACAATTCAAATGGGAAACTCTTTGAAAGCAAAAAGGGGGTTCATTTGATGAGAATGGTACAAAAATTGCCTTTTCTGTTCGTTTTGGGCCTTATTTTTAATTATTATTATTCGAAGACACGACACGTTTTGCTAGACATGTCCTGAACTCCTGATATAAGGTTCCCTTCACCCTTTTTTTTATTATTATTATTTTTTTGGTTTTTGGGATTTTTAGGCAACCGAAAAACATTTTGTCTGTTCTTTCACAATTGCTTCTTGCTTTTTTTTCACAACTTCTGGATTCTACTAACCCTTCCTACAGTTTTTCATAACGATTTTACCAGAAATTTCTAATCCTTTGAAAAAGTGGGTTCTGTGGAAGTGGAATAAATTGATCAATCACGGATATTTGTCTGGATTGCACAATATAAATCTTTTAGGTATCTCCACGGACGATGTTCATGGGCGGCGAAAAACTAAAGTTACAACAAAGCTATTCTTTCCTGAACACCCAGCACATATTCAGATTCAGTGTCTTTCACTTAGTTCTTGCAGTCCATGACAAAAGGCCGAGAAGAGGTATACCTTTTTAACTCGAAAAAGGTTGATGTATTCCTTCAGAAATTTGGAATCGTTTTTTGAATTGTTCTAAACATCAGTCACAGGAATCAAATTACCATGCTTTAATCGTGCTTTAATCATTCTACACTTAGGTTGACTATCTGCTTAATCTGTCTCCAGATCTGTTCACTATTGCTTTCCTTTTACTTGAATTGCCTTTTGTTTTGCTTGTTTTAAATCAAATAGATGTAAGCTCCCCAGGCCAGTCTTAATATAACAGAGAGTAGAGTTTAGCAATTTCCCACGGAAATTCATTCCACCAATCCTCGACTCCCTTTTTGCAGCTGACAGTGTTGTAAGACCTGCCTCCACACTGCCTTAGAATAGCTACACATAAAGAAGGTGTAATTCTTACATTCATCATCCTGTTTACACAATACACAGCACCCATCAGTTGCAATCTTCCCTCCATTCAACCTGTCTTTAGTGGGGAGCCCATTAAGAATGGCCATCCATGCAGTAATTGCATGCTTAGGTATATGTGGCTTACACCAGACAAGACTATGCCAACTAACTTTCTCTTGTTTAGGTCTTAATCCTTCCATTCAGCTCCGGTAGGATAGTTGAAGCAACCTTCCGCTGACATTAAAATCCTGATACTCCAACTACTGCTTTGAGGGATTGCCACATCCCATATGCTTCTCCCTTTGGCCACATAGTTCTGTGTCCTTGCTTTCCAACTTCATCATGCGTGTGCAAGTAGAGACCATAAATGCTTGATTATACGAGCTTCGTACCATGTTGAGATATCCTTCAGTCTCAACCCCCCTTCTGACTGGGACTACAAATGATTTGCCATTTGATTCTAGCCCCTTATGTGTGTGCCCGGCTGTCCTTTCCGGAAATAGCTTGAGGATAGCTAAGTAACTTTCTATCGACAAATTTTTTTTTATTTGTTTTCCTGAAATGAAATAAAAATCAAAATATAATTGGGAGAGCATTAAATTATATCTGTGTGAATCTAGCTTTCAGTTTGAATTATATTTTCTTCCCTTTTGTTTGTTAGGTACAAATTCTACCTCTAAAAACCATTCCTCTGTTCTCACATGAAACACAAAGCAAGCTTCAATTCAATCGCAATGCTTGATTCACATTCCGTACAAAATAGTTATGTGTAATTTCTAATAGTAGTCCTGGATTCTTGGAACAACTGAGCAGTGGTCCTAGTGCTTTGTAATCTATTTTTATGACAAGGATGCCTTATTTCCAGTTTTGTGCGATGAAAAAGGGCTAATCTTTCTCTTGTCAGCTTCAGCTTAAGTGCAGCCATTAAATTTTGGGAAGTCACTCCGTATTCAATTCTGGTAATTAGATGTCATCTGTATTTTAAATGACAGAATGAATTGTCAATTTTCTGCCAGAGCTAGCAATTGAAGGAAATGCAGTTTCTAAAATTTATTGTTTCACTTATTTAGATAATCTTGATTCAGTACATAAAGGGTCCTTTTAAATTTAACCATCAAATTTGAGAACAATTAAGGGAGATAATTGAGTAGTAAGAAGTAAGAAGCTGGGAAATGGAGTTGTTAATTCCGAGGTCATCCACAAAGTGATTCTGCTAAGTTATCCCAACTTCCATCAAATGTGTAGCAGTGACATCACGAAGCTCTGGTTGTTGACCAGGCTTTGATGCTTTCCTGGTCAGCCAAATAGTTTCTTCTCCTGTCAAAAGCTCGTGCAGCTGAATCCAATTGCCTTAATAATCATATGATATTTCTAGCATATATTTTCCATCACATGGCACATTTATTGGAATGGAGAATATTGATTAGGCAATTTGAACAGTTTACTAAATATTAATAAGACATCACCAACCAAATGTCTTGAAGCCAGCTTATACCAAACCTTCGTGCACCATTTGGTTGCAGCCGAAATGGAAGAAAATCAAGAAAGAAAAGCATTAAAATTATGCAGCAGCTTGGATTAGGATAATTATTGGTTATGTTCATAATTGTCTTATTTTTCTCCCTCTCCGCTGCCTGACAACCAGATGCTGCATTAAGTTATTATTTGAAAACGTTTAATGTGATCATCCGCCATTTTAAACAAAACTATATCCATACGCATGGTCTGCACGTTGAAGGCAAGAGCTGAAAATTTTTCATTTGGTTGGTAGCTGTGAATTGATTATTCCCTGTTTCGAATTCGACAAAGGCAGCCTCAAGGGAATGATTTAATTACCAGACTTTTGGAATTAAATTCCGGTCTTACAGACCAACCACTGTAATCTGGATTGCCTACATTAATGAAACATCATCTGCTTAATTTTGAGCATTGAATCCCATTTGTCTAACCTTAAGAAGCCCTGTGAACAGGTCTTATGAAAGTAGTCAGGCTGCGAAATTAAATCTGGGTACATCTTACATTTGATGATGTGAAAATAATAACAGCTGATCAGAATAAGAAGGGCTGCCGGTAAGTTTTGCCATTGTTGTGGAAATCGTCACATAGACAATTACAGTTCATAATTAAGAACCGGTTCTTTTCTGTTGACGGTTCTGAAACTTCTGAAACAGTCAAAGAAACTTCTGCGATGCTACAGTTTCAGGATGAGCCCATTTGCAGTCGTTATCCCTAAAACTCTAATTTAACCATGTATTCAACAAAGCCACCATCAACAGGTTTCCATCACATTCAAAGCGATATGCTGCTCTTTTCTCTTAGTTTCTGGTTTCCATTAATTAAGTTCACTTTTAATTTTTTCAAAAAGGGAAATCAATGGCAGAAAGTCAAACCGACAGCACAGGAAATACTCTTGCACTTGCATATATATATATATATATATATATATATAGGTAAAAATTAGGAGCTGACTGTAGATCTGGGGATCCAACTAATCAGATGAAGATTAATAACTGAATCTCTTTCAAGCCAGATAAAGATGTAAAGAGGAAATGAACTCGGTGCAGAAAACAGTCGATGTCAACCACCGCATTAACTTGTGGTGAAGTGCTCACTGTAATTAGGTAAAAGAAGTTCTCATTATCTTTTGGCCTAACAAAGCAGAAAGATTGACTTTAGGTTAATATTGTGGCATTCCTTTCTCCTTGTCTAATAATGATTTCATATTTTCTAACATTGTTTTCTTCAACTCGTTTTGCAGCCCCACCCAGCCTTATTAGTCATCCGATCGACCAACAAGTTTACTTTTGTGGGGCTCAAATTCAATGGATTCCTCTTCTCCTTCAATGAGGTCCGAAAAAATAGTCTATTTTGGTTTCAAACTGGCCGACAATGGCATTGGGTATTACCCAGTGAACGCCATGTTTAATGGCTTTGTTGCGCTAGAAATGCCAAATATGTCACGAGATTTTACTACAAGTACCATAAATAACTCGCTAAATGATATCGTAAATCTTATGGTCATGAGCATATATCTTCGTCGGTAGATTTGATGTTCTACCTTTCTCATGCTATTTATTGAAGGGAATTAAGTCACTAAATTGGCAAGTTTTGTCGACTGACTTTTAATATGCCATCATCCAGTCACCATTCCGTCATTGATCTTCTCATTTTCGGACCGCAATTCTGCAGTGCCATAATTAACGTGGGAATGGATGAGATAAGAAAAATATCATTAAGTATCTATTAGAGCATGGACCTGTTCATATTGAACTAAAATGAGAAGCAAATATATATTATAGTTGTATTATTATCATTAGGGCTTAAAAAATTGCAATTTTCGTATTTTATATTACAGTCAAATTCATTTCCAACTTGCATCTTGCACTTGCACTGAAATTCCTCGGTCCACGTGCAATGAGGACAAGAAAGCATCGAAATCAAAGAAAAATATGAACCTCTCGCGGTAGAGAGCATGGGAATGTCTCTAATTATGTTATTGTGACTAAACAAAAATATACGTGCCCACTATCATTACCCTAGCCTTTGTGCTTGGGCTGAGACAGAGATTAAAACATAAACAATCCAAGATAGAAAATTAGAGTAGCTTGGTCCGCAAGTAAATGGTCTATAATATTACTAGGAATTGCTAGGAAATCTCCAATATTATTGACGAAAAGTTTGTAGAGATTATTTTTTGGTATTTAAGAAAATAACTAATTGTTTAGCATGGATGATAAGTTGAGTGCTACATAGAGAAGAATTTGTTAAAAAAATTAAATTGAGAGAAAATATATTTTTATATTTAGAATTTTTGGTTCAAAAGTTGTGACTAAAATTATGATTAGACAAATTTCTTGTTACAAAATTTGAAATTTAATTTTTTTAATTAATATATTAATTTTTAAAAAAACTTCTAACAAATTTAAGATTTAAATTTAAATACCTACAATCTAATATTTATTATTTTATTTCAAAATTTGATTTCTTTTGTATATAAAAATATTTTCCACCACAAATTATAAGCGACTACGAATCTAATCAATGATTAACTGATTGCTTGAATGGAATTAAGAAGATGTTCGAACCAAAGGATGATTTACCTTGTATTATAGAACTTGGATGGATATATTGAATTACCTGAAGTTGCTGAAGCTATCCTAATTGTAGATACTCATTTGTGTTTGGGGCCGGTTGGTGTCGAGTTCGTTACTATACTATTATTAGTATTATTATTTGTTATTATTATTACTATAGTATGGTATATTGTTATTATATTATTATCATTATTAGTATAGTACGTTATTACAATATGATTTATTAGTATAATATATAGTATAGAATATTATTTTGTATTGTATTATATTATTACTATAATAGATTTTTTTTCTTTCTTTTCTCCTTAATCGGTGATCAAGGAAATTGAAATCTGGAATTGAATTCGATCTACCCGATTAAAGGGCAATCAAAACCGAAATAAAGGAATTTTTATTCAGTCCAGACAAATTCAAAAAAAATTAGGCTTAAAATTTGATTCTAGCATAATTTAGTTATAGGATTCAAGTTTAAATTGGTTCTGCCCAATCTCTAAGTTGATTGAGACTGCCTATAAATTAGATAATGTTTATGAGAACAAGATACAGTAGAGTTGGTGAAAAAGACTTAGTATTTATATTTTTGGACTTTTGGGTTACTAGGGTTTCAAGATTTAGGTTTCTGAGATTTTGGAGTTAGGTATTTGGGTTTTAAAGATTTTGGGTTGGGATCTAGGTTTCTGGAATTAAGATTCAATTTTTGAAAGGGTTTTGAGGAGATTTGGAGAAATTTTGGAATTTCTAGGTTTTTCTGGGAAAATTTGGGTTTTCAAGTTAAAAGTTTAAATTTTTTGATGAATTTTTTGTTGGATTTTTGATGATTTTTCCAAAAATCGACAAAGATTTTAAGTTTTCAATAGGTGTTATGAGGACATTTTAGAGATAAGAGAGAGAGAGAGAGTTAGGGCAGAGTTAGGGCTAGAGAGAGAGGAGGCCAAGACTTTTAAGGAAAAAGGCTAAAAATTAGCTTTTATAGTGTTTCAAAATGATACCATTTTGGAAAATCTAGATTCGCATGTAACTCAACTAAGATTGTGCACTGCCTGTGGTCCGACCCGACCCTATCATAGATTTTTCTTTTTTTATTTTATTTTGTTTTTCGATTTTATTTTTATTTAGTTTATATTTTGAGTTTTCATTTTATTTTCAGTTATTTTATTTATTTTACTGACTTTTCTTGATTAATTTATTATTAACAATTTCCTAAAAAAAAACACTTTTTTTTCTTTCAAAAAACAACAAAAACATATTAATAAAAATAAAAATAAAAATAAAAAATCTTTTCTAATATATTCATGAATTCTACCAAACTATTGAAGAATTTTCATAGATTTATATTTTATGAAATCCTTCAAACTATTGAAAAATTTTATAAATAAATTTTAGAAATAAAAAATAATAACTTTATCCTCCAAACTATTGGAGGATTTGTTT